TCCCCACTCCACACTCCATAATCCCTACTCCACACTCCACACTCCCCACTCCCCACTCCTCACTCTGCACTCCACACTACTCCCCACTCTGCACTCCACACTGCAGACTTTGCACTCCCCACTCCACTCCCCCACTCCACACTCCACACTCCCCACTCCACACTCCACACTCCACACTCCCCGCTCCACACTCCACACTCCCCACTCCCACTCCCCACTCCCCACTCCACACTCCACACTCCACACTTTACACTCCACACTCCGCATTCCGCACTCCCCACTCCTCACTCCACACTCCACACTCCACACTCCATACTCCCTTCTCCACACTCCCCACTCCCCACACTCCACACTCCAGACTCCACACTCCGCACTCCGCACTCCACACTCCACACTTCCACACTCCACACTCCACACACCCCACTCCCCACTCCTCACTCCACACTCCACACTCCACACTCCACACTCCACACTCCCCACTCCTCCACGCTCCCCACTCCCCAGTGCGGAGTGTGGAGTGTGGAGTGGGGAGTGTGGAGTATGGAGTGTGGAGGGGAGGGGAGTCGGGAGTGTGGAGTGTGGAGTGTGGAGTGAGGAGTGGGGAGTGGGGAGTGGGGAGTGTGGAGTGGGGAGTGTGGAGTGCGGAGTGCGGAGTGTGGAGTGTGGAGTGGGGAGTGGGGAGCGTGGAGGAGTGGGGAGTGGGGTGTGTGGATTGTGGAGTGTGGAAGTGTGGAGTGTGGAGTGCGGAGTGCGGAGTGTGGAGTGTGGAGCGCGGGGAGTGGGGAGTGTGGAGTAGGGAGTATGGAGTGTGGAGCGGGGGGAGTGTGGAGTGTGGAGTGTGGAATGAGGAGTGGGGAGTGCGGTCTGGGGAGTCTTAGGGGAGTGTGGATGGAGTGTGGAGTGAGGAGTGGGGAGTGGGGTGTGTGGAGTGTGGAGCGTGGAAGTGTGGAGTGTGGAGTGCGGAGTGCGGAGTGTGGAGTGTGGAGTGTGGGGAGTGGGGACTGTGGAGTGAGTGGGGCGTGGGGAGTGGGGGGGGAGTGCGGAGTGCGGAGTGTGGAGTGCGGAGTGGGGAGGGTGGAGTGGGGAGTGTGGAGTGGGGAGTGCGGAGTGTGGAGTGCTGAATGAAGAATGTATGAACGAATGAATGAATGAACGAATGGAATGGAATGGAATGGAATGGAATGGAATGGAATGGAATGGAATGGAATGGAATAATGGAATGGAATGGAATGGAATGGAATGGAATGGAATGGAATGGAATGGAATGGAATGGAATGGAACGAATGAATGAATGAATGAATGGACAAGTACAAAACGCAGGGCGTGGACAAAAGGTTTCTGTGGTTTGACGGAGCTGGGCCAATCTCTTGAAATTCCCAACCAAGTGTCAAACCCACTTTTTCTTGGTCAGTGACTCTATGTAGTGTTGATGAGTTTCAAGAGTAGAAATTGGGAACTAAAGCAACGAACATGAACGAAAAGGTAGCTGTGGCTTGATGGAGTTAGTTCAAGCCATTCGAATTGAAAATCGCCAGTGCCAAAAACCAAGCGCATGCGCTCACGCTTCGCTGTTGCTGTTGGTCGCCCACAGGTCCAGGCGGTCCTTTCAGTTTGGGCCACTGTGGCGTGGGGTCAAAAAAGGGTCAAGAAAATCGATTTTTCTAGCCCCTATTTAGGTTTCACATGTGCCTCAGCTTTGGCTCGTGCAAAATCAGGCACAAGCTGCCATGACGCATCATTGGTTGATGAGTTTTAAGGGTGGTATCGAGTTGTTTTCGAACAGCTGGAAAGCTGCAAGCATTTCAATTACAGGCAGAAGCCCAATGTTGGTTTCACAGAGTTGGGCCAAACTCTTGAAATCATTAAAGTCGAGCATGCCAAGCCCCTTGCCTACAATACGTTTGTATACGGGAAACGCGAGGGAAAAGCACGGATCACAACCCTGGTTCACGCGGAAAAAACAGCGCAATGTCGCACACAACCGGACATGACTGCCGGAGAGTCAACTGGATTTCGAAAGCTCAAACTTCAAGGTTGACAGGTATGCTGGAGCTAGGAGGCTTGCTGGTTGAAGCACAAATACGCAAATGGGGAGATCCAACACACAAGCAACAAAGTTGTATGTCCTTACGGGCTGCGCTGTTGCAGGCAAGGGGTTTAAAACATGAAGTGTCCTAAAACAATGTTCGTTGATATCGTAGTCTGAGGACACTTTCAACCTCAAAAACCATCTGACGAGTAGTACACTGAGCGTGTTTTGCTTGCCCCTTCTTGCATTCGCGGACGTTGCGCGTTGTGCGCAACACCAACAGAATAGCAGAAACACATAGCCTGCGTTCAGAATTATGTCTGTGTATAAATCCCAATTGAAAACAGGCTCGCGCTGTTCTCCTAAAAGTTGATGCACACCGTATATGAAAGTGGCTCTGGAGCAGGGCTATGGGCACCTGCTGATGCGCTTTACTAAGAAGCTGTCCGCTGTGCAGAGCACGAAGGTGTAGCCCCACTCACTCAAACCACAACAATTGTAAGCACTTTTGTTTGTCCGCATGGGGGAGAGCACTGAAACACGCTACTCCGAAATATATAGGCTTATGGAAATGTAGGAATAGAACAACTACTGTAGAAGATCTTGAATGGTTCATGTTTTCACTTTCTGTGTGTTCTGGAAACCTTGGGTTTGCGCACAGTGCTGAAAGCTTTTACTTGCGACACAGCCAAGAAAGCTGCAATCACGGGATGAAGCGCACAGCCTTCGAAGCCAACCGCGGTTCTTTGTGGAGCTGGGAGCAACCATGTTCCCAAGTAAATCAACCGCGCCATGCGCACGTAAATCAAACGATTCATGGGGAGCTCAAGCGAGGCAAGACCATGTCTCAAGTAATACACATTGTTCAGAAACATGTTCCCACTATTCAGTGCTAAGAAAAATGTCTGGACTCAGGAAAGATGCGTTCGAAACATACCAGAAAAATACGTTTTTTTTTTACTAGTAAATCAATTTACTTTTACTAGTAAATTTATTTACTAGTAAATTTTCTTTACTTGGCCTAGTAAAATGAGATTAGTAAATAGTAAAATTTAGAGTAAATCGCTGCCATACTAAATTTACTACTTTTGCAGACTCAGGGAATCACCGTTTTAGCGGTAGGGCCGCGGGGGCCCTACCCTTAGGACAGTCGGTAGCGCTACCGACTATCGTAAGCAACCCCCCCCGGTTCAACGATATCGTTCTTTGGGCTGTTTTAAGCGCGCCAGGGCTAACCCAAGATGCATTTAACAATGTCACGGGGTTGCTTACGACAGTCGGTAGCGCTACCGACTGTCCTAAGGGTAGGGCCCCCGCGGCCCTGCCGCTAAAACAGTGATTAGCTTAAATGCGAGACTTTTAGATTTGCAAGACCCGCAATTCATGTATTTTTGGTAAATTGTGCCGGCAAGAAGGATCAAGAACGCTTTCGATGTGTCAACCAAGAAAAAGTTGATGGCATCCTCAGCCGTCGTCTTCAGAAGAATATGGGCCAGTTCCCTGCACAGTGCCAGTTTCTGTGAGGAAAACAACTCAGCAAAACTAGTCGGCAGCATTTACTGCGAGAACTAGCTTTAGGTAAGGTTCACGGTCGTTGTGTCGCTCCTCTTCCGTGACAAAGGCCACACAGCGTTCGCAGCCACGGTCTTGAACCTATGGCACCTTTCCTTGGCAGTTTGCATCATTGCTGGACATTGAAAAAGTAGCTTAGCATGGTTGACCGTGGCTGCCCGATGCCAGTTTTCTCCCAAGCCCGGTCTTGATTCACCTGCTACGGAGTTTCCAAAAAGGCCTCCTTATCATTCAGGGCCCGCCAAGGCGGCGAAGGAGCGGAGGCCAGGATTGCTGATCGGGGGCGGTGGGCTTGAAACGCCGGACTCACCCAGCAAGTCCTTTTCGAATATGTTCGGGGAAGCCCCTCCGTTTTTTGATATTTGCAGCTTGGATGCTGTCTGAAATGAGGATGCCACTTGTGTCCTGGCTGGTGATGTGCTCGGGATTCATCGCTGCCCTCAGGAGTACTTACTACACGGTCTCTCTTAGTCTTGTACACACACACAGAGACACACAGAGACCCAGTCTCAGTCTGTTCATCCTAGCGCGCGGTCATCAACAAGCCAAAACTACGTTTCAGTTACTTGGGCTACTACAAAAGTGGCCTGCCACAAGACGCCCAGGGCGCGTTATTATAACCTCCCAAGTAAGTACTACTTGTCGGTAGCCCCTGAAGATCGCGCCACGAAAGGGCCGAACAAACCAAACTTCAGTCAAGCGGTGCCCCAAAAACGAAGGCTCGCTGGTGCTCAACTTGTTGGGCTGACTTTGAACGACAGCATCAAGTGGCCTCATCGCGTGGCCGAGACGATCATGAAAGCCCCAGCGCCTCGTACGGTAACACAGTCACTATTGCATGTCGGTCGCTAGGGGGTAAACCCACCACATGTTGGCAACGAGGGATCAAGCAACGCAGGGTTTCCCCCAAGACTTAGAAGTGTTTCATGGGATTTTGAATTTACTAAGTCATTTCCGCATGAACGTTAAACAAAGTTCAATCCATAAAAAGGTAAGTGGTAAGCTTGAATGAAGTTGTTTGGTGACAAGCCTTGCCGAGCCAGGTACTCTCGAAATTGCCAGCGGCAAATAAACATCGATAAACACACAAATAACGCAAATGACTTTTTGACATTGTTACACATACACCCCAGATTTGTAGAGGAAACTGTGGGGAATCGGACCAAGGATAGCTGAACCGCACGCGGGACGGTGGGACGTATCACCTTTTTGGTGACAACCACAGCCATTTGAGACACTGACACACAGTCCTTTCCATTTGTTTAAGAATATGTTTTGTTTTTCCCCCTGGTTTTGGAAGGAATCGATTTCACTACTGGATATATGTTTCCATTTTTGTCCAGGGGGCGATTCTTCGCAAGAAGGTCCGGCATCTCATCTGAGTCCCGCGCCCGTCGAGGCCCGGCGAGCGCTGGCCCTGGGCGGTCTTCCTCTTGGAGGCCATGGCAGAACGGCAGCAGGCGGCATCTTCGTTGAAGTTCGTGATTTTTTTTGGAGTCGTCTCGCTTCCGAAGCTCGTTAAACTCCGAAGTTCGGAAGTCTCCTCATTTTCGGGAGTTCGTGAAGTTCTTGAAACTTCTCACATTATCGCAGTGGTCCGGGACTCGGACATTCTGTTGGGTTGGTTTACGCTTTTTCGTGGTTGTTGGGACACATTTTACATCATCTCACTTTCCTCACCCTCGTTTTGGGGAGGGTGTGGACATTGGTCACTTTTGGGTCCTGAGTTTGTGGACTTGGATCATGTTTTGGTCCACGGACCTTTGTTGGGGTTGGTGTGCGGTTTCTTTTTCGTGGTTGTGATTGGGAAACACTCTTTTTTTTTGCTTGTTGTGGTTTAGTGGTCGAAATCCAACCACTTAACTGCTAAATAAATCAAATTGCTGCTCCCCTTCCAACGTCAATCAAGTTTTCGGGTTCCCAGTGGATCCGGTTGCCATGGCAAGTAACCAGGATTCTTGCCTTTGGATTGCCTCACTTCCGGAGTTCCTCGACTTGTAACTTTTTGGGTCGCCATTTGTGTGGCAAATGGAAAGTTCGGTTACAGTACCTTTTTTTGGTCCATGCACTTGGGTCTTGGAGTCTTGGAAGACCACGGCCTAAAGGCCGCTCATGCACTTTGAAGTCTTCCCTCCTAGGTCCCCAAGCTGGGTGCCCGCTCTTTGACCCCTTTTTGGTTGGGAGGCTTCCCCTACTAAAATGGACAGAACAAACAAGCTGGTACCCTTCTTCTAAGCTCTCTACTGGAGGACCTAGTTTTAGAGTTTACACTTTTGGGGTTTCCCAGTTTTAGTGGCAACCCAACATGGTTGTTGTTGAGAAACATTTTACATTTTTGCTTATGGTTGTTTAGTGGTTGAAATCCAACCACTGAACTGCTAAAATTTCTCAATTTTTGCTCCCCTCCCAACGTCAACCAACCCAACAGGTGATCACCCTGAAATATTTGGAGGACCTGGCCTCTGGTTGCCGAGTTTCGCCTGGCCAATGCTTCGAGACCGCAGGTGCCGCTGACCACGTGCAATGCCGCCATCACGGCCGGGGCCTCGCTGCGGCCAAGGTGTTTTTTGTTTGTTTGTTCTCCTTTTTGTTGGTGGCATGTATATATATATATATATATTATATATATATATATGTGTTGTTGTGTTGTTTTTTGTTGTTTTTCCCCAACAGCTGAAAGCTTTGGGGTCTCAGCCCAGGTAGGCTCCGGGGTGGTCCGGGGCGGCGGTTCCACCAGGGTTCCACGAGGGTTCCACCAGGGTTCCACGAGGTTCTGCGAGGGCTGCGGGTTGGTGCGAGCACTACAAAGAGCCCCGCATGCTGTTGGGGATATCACCTGAGCTTATGTATCTTGCCTGGAGAGATGCTATCAGCTGCCTTTTTTTTTGGAGGGGGGGTTCAATCATGGGTATGGGTGAAAATTAAACCATCAGGAATTGGACCAGGTTTGATTTCCATTTGCCAGGGCAAGCTATTTCGGTTACATATTTTGACCCACAACATTGCCTTTCTGGCAGTTTTAAGGGTACTTTCCTTTTGGTTGTTCGAAAGGGACAGAAAAGGCCGGTGGTTCTTGGCCCAAACTAAGTGGTTCTTTTGGTCGATGCTGGTGTTTTCAAAGCGGGTCCGAACTTCTGGGTGCTGACGAACACTAACCGTTGGTTTCTCCAAAGAAAGCCAAAAGAGGCTAGGTCCCCCAGCTAGGTGCCCTTTTACCGTTTCTTTTTTGGGGGAGGGTTCCCGTACTAAAATTGACTACAGAAAAAAGTTGTAACCTCTCAACTCTGGAGGACCTAGGAGGGCAACCGGTTTAATATTAGTTCAGACCCCGTTGTCCCACCCTGATTGAGCCCGACAGCTGGGCATCGTGCGGGTTGAGGCTGCGCACTCGCGCACGCGTTTGTTTGAGCACAGGGCGTTTGCGGTGAGACTAATCTTCTAGCAAATCTCGAGAGGATGGAAAGCAACCATTGCGCCAATAGATGTATGAGTTTGAGAGTTTCTCGAAATGGATTCTGGGCATGGTATTCTAAGGCAAAACAAGAGGAAGCCAAGCTTTTTCGGGACCCCATTTTGGGTGTGTCTTTTTTTGGTACGATTTTTAACCTTGTTAAGGAGACCGACATAAATTCCACAACCATGTTGGGGGCTTTTGCAAACCCAAAAGGATAGTCAAAGCCAAAAGGGGAAAACATGTTGACCGAACCCAAAAGGAGAAGCAAAACCCCTCCATTTTTACTTTGGTGATTTTTTGCTTGGCTGTTAGGACTTCAACTTTTTGCCAACTAATAGGTTTTCCACTAAACCACTTTCAGCAGGGGAGCAGATTTCGCAACCGAGTTTAGACACCATTCTTTTGAGAAGCACCCGCCCAAACCTTCAGGTCTGCGCTCAGGCCAAGCATTGGCAGAGGGCCTGGGGCCCGAGTCGCGAGAGACAGGCGAGAGACGGGCGAGAGACGGGCGAGAGCCCTGCGCCTGCGGCCCACATCGACGTTTTGGGCTCGTCTTGTTTTGGGGGGCACCCTCCTGTTTCTTACCTCTTAAAAACACAACTTTTCAACTTTTTGGGTAACATGGGCTAGATTCTGTAAAAGCTTAACTTCCCCAAGGCTTGGAGTTTTGAGGGGTAAGGTTTTGGTTGATTTGAAAGCGAAAGCCAAGCAAAACAAACCGACGCCTCTCCTCTTTTGTTGGGGGCGCCCAAAAGAAACGGAGCTTCCTGTGGGTTGGGACACTCTCAGGAAACCTTTCTTTACCAGCGCCCTCCAGTTCGGGAAGCGCCCGAAGCGAATGGACCTTTCGGGACCAGGGCCATTTTTTGTTTGAGTGCAGGTTCCAGGGCTCACAAAATTTGGCCCCTGGATTGTTATGACATCCGTTAAATCGGGTCCCACATTCAATTGAGGGAGTTTCCTTTCGGGGTGATATCCGGAGGGGTTGGGGGTACTTCCAAAGAAAGAAGGGAGCACGAAAGAAACTTCCATTTGTTTAAAACTATTTTTTCCCCTGTTGGTTTTAAAAGGAATCGATCACTACTGGAGATATTTTTATTTTTTCCAGCGGGCTTGAGCAAACGGAAGGAACAAGAACAAACGGACCTCTCCCTTCACTTTGTAGGGAATTCATCCATGGAGGCAGGGCCCGCATTTATTCCCAGTTGGGTGTGGGGAGAAAGGCAAGCCTTGGGGCTCTCACGTGAAACCAACTCCTACGAGGCCTTAGCTGTCCTGGACGGCATGCTGTCAGGAGCGGGATGCGATGGATTTCTGAGGCACATGGCCGCGGTTCAAAACCAATGGGATCCCATTTTGGGGTTTTCGGTACGCCACCCATTCTAGAACCTATTTTAGTGGGGATTGGGTCTTGACCCGTGGCCACATCACTTTTGGTATCCGTGAAGTTGTTTCTTCTGCTGGTCTCAAAGGGAATCTATCACACTGGAAATTGCGTTCTTTTCAGGGGGACTTTTTCCAAAGCTCAAGAACGACCTTGTGACCTCCATCCCCCCAAGAAAGGTTCTCCTAGCCTTTCTACGAGCCTGTTCTAAGATCTCAGAAGGTTCCATGGGTGCTCGTTGCCAACGTCATGAAAGTAGATTATGGCCCATGGTTATTAGGGGACGATCACCCCAGCTACCTGACGTGGGTTGAACATCGCAGTAGCGCCGACCCTTTTGCTTGGAGCCCGCCTTCTTGTAAGTTTGTGCACCGCTTTGAAACCATGGAAAACCATTGTTACCCCACATGTGCGTTTGAGACCGGCTGTGAAGAGCCTTTCATGCCCAAGAGAAAAGTCTTGGAAGCGGCGCTTCCAACCCTTTTTCCATTTAAATGTTCAACCTACTCAGTTACTCATGGTTGTTGTTGGGAAACATTTCACATTTTTGCAAGTTGTGGTTTAGTGATTGAAACCCATCCACTAAAACGATAAAAAATAACAAACATCAACCATGTACTGGTTGAACACCCAAGTTGGAACCTTTTCAGGGACACACCTTCGGGTTGGGGACACCCCACCCCCTTTTTGGGGCAACCCATACGAACACCAGGGGAGAAGGGTGTCCTGCTATGCTAGATGTCCTTTTTTTTGTGACTTTAGCATGACTTTTTAGGGAAAGTTTCCTTTTGGGGTGATGTTTAAAGGGGACAAATCTGAGGAACCTGGTTCCAAAGTCCTACCCTGAAGCATGGCCCCTTTGTTGGCTGGCCTGCATGGATGAGAGAAACAAGCGCGATGGCCAGATTAGCTCACTCTTCCATAGTTGTTGCAATCATTTTCTTGAGGTTGGATTTTCCAGTTGTTGGATTCATCTTTGGATTTCACATTCTTGGGGAAGACCATTGTGGCCCTGAGCCACCAAAGTTGCCAGTGCTTTGGTCAGGAGACCGGGGCTGGAGCACTCCAGACCACATCAGCCAATGTCTCAGTCGTGTCTGAGTTGCTCCGCTTTGCGAATCGACGGTTAGTTTCAACCCCTGTTTGGGCCAACCTTGCGACGCTTTTGTTTTGTTGTGGTGTCCCTTATGGTTGTCCCATGGTTTCCCTTAACCCTATGGTCCCGAAACGGTTACAGCCGGTTATGTTCCGTCCTTGGAGTCTGTCAAAGCGGTAAGGCCCGCGCGCGCACGACGCAGATTCCAGGTCGGCCCATTTTAGATGGTTCTTGGCTGTCGGATTGTATCTTTAACCTTTAACTTGTTTGGGACAATGTGTGTTTTCTCCAAACATCCGCAAACTGCTCAACTTTTTGCCCCGAGGTGCAACAATCAAAACAGGCCTCCAAATACTATCATTCTCATCATGAATGCAGAACACTAATGCGGATGAATAGGAAGTGTTTGGGTGCTCAGGGCTGGTTTCCCATTCACCCTCTACAAGAATCAGCGGTTCAAACCCAAATCCAAACCAACCCAAGCCACCAACTCTTGAATTCTTACAAGCGCTACAAGAATCAGGGGTCCAAACCAATCCAAGCCACCAACTCGGTACTTGAATTCTGAGGGATCCAAAGTCGGCACAAAGAAACGCCGAGCGCCGACCGCGCGCGAGGCTACAACGGCGCGTTGGCCGCCTGCGAGCGCGCCGCGCAGCCTGAGCTGGCGGCCAGGCGTGGAAGGGGAGGTCAAGTGGATGGGTCTCATGGGGTGGCCAAAAGTTTGTTTTGTTTCAGAGCATTGAAACTTCTTATGGACAAGTATGCCATTAGGGGACCCCTACCCCGACCCCCCTTTAGGTTAGGGACGTGGCCTGAGAAGCGGCACAGGGAGTCTGAGAAAACCGCAGGCTGCTGCAGCAGATGTTGCGCAGCAGGACTGCGGAGGTCAGCAGCGGCTCGGCAGCAAACCCCCTTCGTGTAGCAGGGCTCCTTAAAAGATCTGCACTTTGCAACTATTTGAAACATGTTGCTTTTTCAACACCAAAATACAGTTGGACACCACCATTTACAAGGCAATGTTCAGGTGTATAATGTAAGGATCCCTGTGTAGATGCAGTTACTAGGTCCCCCAGCTAGGTGCCCGCTTTTAGTCACCCCTTACCAAACAAGGGGGAGGGTTCCCCGACTAAAATAGACCACAGAGAAAGTTGGCAACCTTATTCTAACGTCTCTACTGGAGGACCTAGGTTACCACCACTAAGTCGAAGGGGGTGAGAATCTCACCGCCATCATTCACCGTTCAATAATTTCAGCATCTTGGGTCAACGGGGGTTGAACCCTAGAGTATGGGCATGTCTCTGCGTTTTGTCCCCTCGAGCCGAAAGCGATGGATGTGGTCGATAGGCCCAGCCAGATAGGCGACAAGGGGTGGTTTGGGGCAGCTTTCAGGGAGTTTGGAGGGGGGTTTGCTTGAATCATTTTTTTACCACCAAGCAGGAGTGCCACTTCTTGCGGCTTGAGGTCGCAGTGGTACGGTAGGGGCACTCCTCCATGCAAAGAGGCAGCTTGGATGAGTTCTTTTTTTTGGGGGGGGGCTAGGTGTCTCTTTGATGTCCTCCGAAGAAAGGCAAGCCTGCCCAAAAGCGAGTTTGCAAGCTGGGATCGGTCCAAGCAGGCCACGGTGTTCGAACAGGTCCGCTTGTTCTTGTCGGTGTCTTTGTACACATTGTTCAAGCAAACTTAGGACTTGTGCTAAAAGTCCGCAATGTGGAATGTCCCCGCAAAAGTGGGGGCTTGTGGGGTACGCCCGACAAAAAGTAAAAAGAAAGAACCGGCGATTGACACACATGTTTTCCATCAAAGTGAGAGGCTGCAAGCAAGGTTAGCAAGAATCTGCATGGCAGTGTTGCACCTGTGTATCCATGTCCTGCGCGTACCTGTCAGTCCAACAATCTTCCGGGAATGTTTGTTCATACATAGCTAGGTCCCCCAGTAGTGCCCGTTCTCACCCCTTTTTTGGGAGAGGGTTCCCCTACTAAAATAGACTACAGAAAAAATGGTACCCTTATTCTAACCTCTCTACTGGAGGACCTAGTCAGTGTTGGTCCCCTTCTAACCATGGTGGCCTAGCTACCTGACGTTGTTTGTTCATAATGTATGCATTTATCATGCATGTAAGAACCAAGCGCGAACCTCCGATGCCTTGGAGCACGGCTTTTCCTCGATGCTCGGAAAAACCTGCCTGTTTCGCTTCTGCTTGTCCTTACCTGCTTGGAATGCCGGTCGGTGAAGCGCCTGCGCCCCCACACAACTTCTTGTGTAATCCCAAGGCGTCTCCTGAGTCGAGCTTTGGGTCCGCCAATTTTGCCTTTTTCACAACCGAAGAGGTGATCGCCTTTGATGTGGTCATTTTGTTGGAATCTTCACATTTCCTGGGGGTTGGGCTTCCTCGTTATCACGGGCAAGTCTGAAGATGTGTCCATAGTGTCACTCTGTTTGGGTTTAATCTTTTCTCTTCTGCTTCCATTTTTTCCTGTCCATATGTGCCTCTGTTTGGAGTTGGTCTTTTTTTTTTTCCGCTTTTCGGGTTTTTTTCTTTGAGTCGAAGCTCCAACAACTGTTTCCATACGTGTCTCTGTTTGGGGTTTGTCCTTTTTTTGTTGCGTCCATTGTTTCCTTTGAGATCCAGGTGCCAAAAACAGGGCGCCCCTTCGACCTTCAACCAAGCAAGGATGCCGACACTTTTTTCCCCATGGAAATCCACCCAAAATCCGGGCGCGCCCTTCTTCTTCCCCCTGGAAATCCACCGGACGTCTGGGACGTCACGAAGGGCGCGAAGCGCCAGGTTTCAGCAGTGTGGCTGCGGCCTACGGGCGAACGACAG